TTCACTTCGTATGTAATAGAATTTTCAGGAAACGCTTATCCTTTCGCAGAAATTTGTGTGCACGGTAGATGGAAAATCGGAGAGCGCCATTCAATTCATTCTTGGCTTTATTCCATTGTAAGCTTCTATAATCAATTATATATAAAAAACATTTTATCGCGTTCATACCTCCAGCTGACGATAGAATTTCACTTAGTTTTCTGACAAGCGGAAATTATCGTCGGCCGTAAACTGAGCACAGTTTTGTGTGCACGGTAGATGGAAAATCTGGAACTACCATTCTATTCTAATACAAATTCTATCTAAAACGCTTTAGTTTCCCTTCTTCATACAAAAACTGGCCGAAGATATTCGCCCTTCAATATCCCAACAATTCACTTCGTATGTAATAGAATTTTCAGGAAACGCTTATCCTTTCGCAGAAATTTGTGTGCACGGTAGATGGAAAATCGGAGAGCGCCATTCAATTCATTCTTGGCTTTATTCCATTGTAAGCTTCTATAATCAATTATATATAAAAAACATTTTATCGCGTTCATACCTCCAGCTGACGATAGAATTTCACTTAGTTTTCTGACAAGCGGAAATTATCGTCGGCCGTAAACTGAGCACAGTTTTGTGTGCACGGTAGATGGAAAATCTGGAACTACCATTCTATTCTAATACAAATTCTATCTAAAACGCTTTAGTTTCCCTTCTTCATACAAAAACTGGCCGAAGATATTCGCCCTTCAATATCACAACAATTCACTTCGTCGTGTAAGGGAATTTTCAGGAAACACTTAACCTTTCGCAGAAATTTGTGTGCACCGTGGAAGAAAGAATAACCTGTTTACCATAGCTAATTTGGAAAATCTTGGTTCTTATATGTGGAGTTTAATTTTAGTGTATACGGAAATTCGGAGCTAATTACGCTATTGAATTCGCCATGAAAATGTTCGTTTCATGCCTGTTATTTTTTTAGCGGGAGACGATGAAGAAAATTTGACATGCTAATATTTTTTGATACTTTTCCCATCTCATCATAATCTCTGCTTGATAATCATGCTGATGGCGTCTTTTCGTGTGATGTTTTTATATTTGATTAGGATATTAGCAATGGTCTCTGGAAGTAGTACGTTGTATATATAGGAGTCTCTAAAAATATAAAAGTAAAAACATTTTAATTATTTGTTAATCTTTTGGACATTGGCACGTACACACAGATATATGATTCTGCACTTACTTGTCTTGGCTAGTTGCATGGGACCACAATTGTAATTTGTAAACAAATTTATATTGGCTCCGAACCACATTTCTTGGGTCACTGTTAACGGTATTAAAGCGAATGAAATGCATATGGTATTGGAAATGGAATGAGGTATTGAAATTAATTTATCTAATCAACATATTTGTATTCATATTTACCGTGGATTTCGTTCAGTTCTTGGTCGTACTATTGAAAATAGCGTCTTCGTGATTAATTCAACCACCTGAAATTAAAGATGAAATCAAGTACATGTATATTAAATTGCAGTAGGTAACTTTTTATCGCGTGACATACAATATATGTTGCAATTTGCAGGTAGGCCTAAATTACCCTGTGTTTAACATGTCCGTAATATTTAGAATCGTTTTCCGAGTGGTAATTTGTTTAATTGTTTAATTTGATTAACATTGTATAAGCGAAAGATACGTTTGAATGTACAGTTCGATATGTTAGCATGCTTTTCGAACTTCAGCAGTTAATTGTCTAATTACCATAATTATTTTATTTGGAATTCTTCACTGTTTTTTCTTGTACTTACCTTATCAGGTATATCTGCATATTTGAAAAACTGCCTCCGCAATAGCGACTTTCCAAATGTATGGATGTACTGAGAATGGTCTTCCAAAATCCAATCCCATTTTTGAAACTCTTGGGTTCTGATAAGGAAAGCACTGTATATTAAAATGTAATTATAAAGTATATATATATATATATATATATATATATATATATCTATCTATATATCTATATATATATATATATATATATATATATATATATATATATATATATATATATATATATATATATATATATATATATATATATATATATATATATATATATATATATATATATATATATATATATATATATATATGTATACATATAATATACCTAAAGATTGTCACAAGTGTATTACACTATTACACTTACGGTGTTTTTCTCGTTAAGGAAAATTGTAGCAGTTTTGGCCAAAGTTCTTTAATCTATAGGAGTAGGAGTACAATATACTGAGCAATGTCATTGATTTGCTAGTATTAATAATAATTACCAATAAAATAATGTACTTACAAAGGTAGGTAATTCGTTTTTCCTATCGTTCCAGAAGACGTGATCTGCTGTGCCATCCCTGGGTTGTTAAAAGATATATAGACGATGAGCGTTATTTATTTATTTATTTTATTTATGTATTTATTCATTTATCATTATTTATTTAAATTGGGCACCCTAACATTTGTGATTTGATCATTTTAAAAATTGCTTATTACAATGTATATCTTTCTTCGCCTATTTTAATACATTAATAAAATCATAGAAAATAACACTAATACGTCCAAATTCTTCTATTATTTAAATGATCGACAACGAACCGCCAATCATTCATGCTGTTTGACGCCTTTGACGTGATATCATTTACCTTCAGTTTAGGATTGCATGCTTCGCGTCATCAAGCGTACGTTGGCGTACGAAGCATATGCCATTGTTTATTATTTATCTATAATTACACTCACTCTTCACTTGATGCTTCATCAGACTGCACCAAGCGACTTTCATTGTCTGCTTTATTGTTCTAAAAAGGTTAAATTTGTATATTACCGAAATCAGTAGAGTGTCTTTTCTGGAAGTTGAAAAGACAGTCATGCAGAAGCCAGTAGAAACGTTCAGTCTTATGACGTCACAGTGAAGGAATGCAGCGTGGAACTTGTACGTTATTTTACTTATTAGTAATTTATTTAGTTTGACAAATTGCCAATGGTTTGCCAATCGCCAAACGAACTTTCGAGCAAAGAAAGAACCTTTGTTTGTGGGAAGGCACTGGGAGAAGTAATGCAAGCTAAATAAAGTTACTAATATAAAGTAAAATAACATACAAATTCCACGTACGCTGGATTCCTTCGCCGTGACGTCATAAAACAAGAACGTTCCTTCTGGCTTCTGACTGTCTTTTTAACTTTCGGAAAAGACACTCTACTGATTTCGTTAATATATTTGTTAAGGAAAACTAACTACTTCTTTGTTTCCATATATACACAAATTCTATTTCAAAATTTTCGAAAATGTATTGGATGTCAATAAGATCTAAATGAAAACGTTTTTGCATGTCTATATATATATGATTATATTATTTGTATGTACACGCGATAATTTCTTGTGTGTACATATTATTATTTTTATCATTTCAATCATCCGTTTCCGGGGCTGTTATATAATACAGTATACTTACTGTGTCCGCAGGTATCAATTTTTCATCAATTGCCTTCAAACTGTGTAAACAAATTAATTAATCAGACGGTTACATTCAAATTTTCAAACAATTTGGATACCAATATATGAGTGTGTTACTAAATAGTAAATAAAGTCTTACTCGTTATCTATTTGCAGCAATGATTTCATCCAATGTCTTATATTTGGAATATCCTCCTACAGAATAGGAAAATGCATGTCTTGTACTATTTGTATTACCTGTAAATTAAGCAATTACACAGTACACTAACAGACGTCTGTACGTATACATATAAATACATACGTATAATAGATACACGTTTAAAGGTGAATATATGATATATCTCAGAAAATTGGGCGGAACTTATAATATCTCGACATCTAGCTGCAATCTTTCTGCGTTTGTTTGCTCTGAGCCTTTGTATAGTATATGACGTTTAAAAAAAAAAAAAATTCATTTTACTATATGTAATGATTATCTTACAAAAAAACGCTGCACTTTTTGAATCAAAATCGTTCCAAAGAATTTAATTTTTTCAACTGTATAAATTAAAGTTATGAGATGCAACATATATATTACACAATGATTATGAAATCATTAAATACCTGGGTGAAGTGGAATCTATCCGTTCCCTTCGAAAGGCTCCAGGCCGACTTCAATGTATATAAAGATATGAAAATTTTGGTGAGCCAAACGTGCCATAGGTCATTTTATTTCGTTCGTTTTGTAATGAGATCACGAACTTCATTGATCGGATTATACATAATAATTAGGGATGAAATATTTACATGCCTTACCGCACAAATGAATACCCCACAATCATTCAAATTATCTTGCTGTGGAACCTATATGTATAATTATATATACTATTGTTATTTGCTTTACATATATTTCTGTTACATAATTCTGTTTCTTCGAACGTAGCCTATATGACATGTAGTGAAGTGTAATCAATATTCGAAAATACCGCGTTTTAGAAGCAATAATCCGTTTCCTGATGATTTCCTTTAACGCAGGAAACTCGGAGTAGCAACAAGAACATTTTAAGTATTACAGTCAATTTCACAGAACTTTTCCAAAATGCATGTTCCAAAGTTCGTTTCGTTTCGAAGTTCACAAGTTCAATATTCAAATTCACAAAGCAGTTTGCAAACAAAACCTCTGATTAGTCCATGAATTGAAAGAAGCCAATCAAATGCTTAGTTTACTGACCAGTTTGTGAACTTATACAATTCAGAATTTCGAACTTTGGAACTTCGAAATGAACTTGCATGCGACTGACTTGGAAACGATCGATCTCAGTGATAAGATCGAGTAAAATACTTACATCGAATTGTGTATGCTTCCAACTTAATTGGCTATACATTGCATTTGACAAAGTGCCTCTCAATTCCTCTTGCATCCATGTTCTAGGCAAATATGAATACATTTTATTACTTCTTTCGTGTTATCTTATATTTTAAACATGTATACATGCATAGTAGTTTATCATAATTGGTTCACATTCGTATTTGGATTACGAAGTTAATTATGCTCTTTATACAAACAATGTTAACATGGAATGAACTATATATTACTAAAGTTTGTGTACACTATAATTATTATTTTTGTTCAAATCTAAAATGCATATCTTGATTGAATATATAGATAACTTGAATACAGTGATACAACAAACCATGCAATTACCTTAATATTTGTAAAACAGATGTGCTATCAACATCATAACCACGTAACGAATTAATGATTCCTACATTTACTTCTCCATCAATTGTCACGCTTTTCAGATCGAAAACCTATAAATAAATATAAATTGATATAGGTAGTCAGTAGTTTTGTGCAATTAATTTGTCAGTATTGTTGTATCATGCATGCAGTAGCTATTAATCAGTTACTTACCACTAATATTCAATGTTGTTTTTCGCAAACTGGCACAAACACGAAATCCTTTTTACATAAATCAACCTTATAATGTTAAAAAATACGTACCATAAAAATTTGTTCTAATAGACGTGGGATCATGTAATTTGGAAATCAGGTGTACATATCAATAAAACGTTCTGTATATTGTTTTCTTCGTATGTTGCATATTAATGCCCAAAATATTCTGTATAAAATTTAACTTAACAAGGCAGCACACATGTTGCACATGTGTCTTATGTAAATTATCAACTTACATTTTTCGTCCAACGTTTGACGGATGATCGTCCTGGTAAATTGCGATTGCTACGTAACTTCGGAAGTAAGAATGATGACATTGCGTGAATATCTTTGATAACCTTATAATGTAATATTATGCTGGTCAATTTGAAGCTCATAAATATATATTCAAAATTATTATAAATACTATATATATATATATATATATATATATATATATATATATATATATATATATATATATATATATATATATATATATATATATATATATATATATATATATATATATATCAATCAATGATACATCAGAGCTCGTATAACAACTTTTTATTACGTTTCGGGGCAAGCCCCTTCTTCAGATTACATGTGTACACTTGATTTCAACTATTTAAACTGTCCATACCCTACAAAGAGAAACCCACACAAAGAGAAGGTTTTTGGGCTTATAAACTGAATTCGTTTGAACCGCATGGGTTGAATTTAAAAGACGTTTGAACAATAGAGTTAATCAAGCGAATTATTATAATTAGGGTATGGACAGTTTAAATAGTTGAAATCAAGTGTACACATGTAATCTGAAGAAGGGGCTTGCCCCGAAACGTAATAAAAAGTTGTTATACGAGCTCTGATGTATCATTCATTGATTTATATAAATGTTGGGCTCTAGAGAAAGTTGGCTCAGTGATATATATGTATATATATATATATATATATATATATATATATATCTATATATATATATATATATATATATATATATATATATATATATATATATATATATATATATATATATATATATATATATATATATATATATATAGTACAATCTGCAGACATACATGTTTCGGCGTCCTACGCCTCATCAGTGCAGCTTAGTACACATCTTATTGATATACATGACACTTGCTCTCCCCAGCGCATGTGTTACAACACGAGCCATCAACGCATCCAGACATGCGCAGAGTGAGAGCTCCCCCCTCCACCCCAGCTATAAAAGAGCCCCTTCTAGGAACAATGAATAATTATTTTTTATCCATATGCACACAAGAAACAAGAAAAATTAACGAATTAAATTTCGTTCATTCACAAGCAATACATGCTATCATAATTTCAGAAGTAAATCATGTAACATTGTTACTTTCATGGTGGTACAATAGACTATATCATACCTTCCGGACGCTTCGTAAATTGCAAACATTCCTTGGACTTATCACTTTCTTTTTTGGTCTTGTCGTTCTTTTGGGTATTTCTGTTGCTTCACTGACAATTGAGGATGGTGAAAGAGGAATATCTTCGGTCATTTCATGTTTATCTTCTTCACATCCTTGCATTTCCTGTTCTTTGTTCTAAAACGATAAAAATATCGGATGAATTATATATAAATTAATTAATTAGCTCATTAATAACGTTTAGTTATGAAAAAACACGATGGTGTTGTATGCAATATATAGCATACCGCAGCAAAATGCTCATGTGATGTGATTTTCTTACTTATTTACTTACGAAAATGAATATAACGATAGTCGTCAAACTAGTATCTTTCGGCAAATAGGCAACACCTCTATGCTTAGAGGCCTGTTTACATATAGATAGGGTAACTCTACATATAAGAAGGGTTAAATAAACTATAGCAAGCGGGTCAGAAAACGGCGAGCGTTTACATGAGGTAGGGTAGGGCAACCCTACCTACGGGTAGTCGCTAAGCCGTTTGTATTAGGAAAATGGCGCCGAAACGCAAAATTTTTGCGCGTTACCTAAGTAGGGACACACACATTATTTGCCCATTATTCTATTCCTTAATTCCCTTGACTTTATCATATTATTCTTAATTATTCCCAAAATTATTTTACATCAAGGCGAACCAAGACCAGGAGAAAACAAAAAGTTTATCTATATATAATGGAAATGGAAATTTCGTCTAGATTTTCAATTTTATTTGAAATTTGCATTTTAAATAATGCATAATGTTATTAGTCCAAAAATTCTACGTACACGACGCACATGCACGCCGCGTCGCTGACACATGGGCGGATGGCGCATACGCTAATTAGGGAATTTACGTTGGCACGATGACGTCATATCTAAACGTTCCTTATTATTTTCCCTTTTTACTATTATTCTCGGTTTCAAAAGTCCCCTATTATTCTAAAAGAAATTCCGGCATAATATGTGTGTCTATCGCTAAGTCGTCTGTATTAGAAAAAATGGCGCCTAAACGAAATGTTTAGCGACAAGTTGTGTAATGCTATTTCTTGGGCCTTTGCTTGCTACATTATTGCAAGCAATCACAGCAGGACGTATAAAACACTCGATTGTAGGGTAATCCAACCTGACGCGTTTACATGGCTTATGTAAACAAAAAGATAGCCCTGCTTCCACGGTCACCCTATCTGTGTGATATGGCAACCATATCCCTAGGATAACCTACAAAACAAATTACACTAAGGTGACCCGCTTGCAATGGTAACCTTCCAGATAGGGTCACCATACATTGTATAGTGACCCTATATCTGTAACATCCATGTAAACAGGCCCTAGATTTATTCGCTACGATCCTGGATATCTTCACACAGCATCGGAATCGGCTAGTCGACATACACGGAATTTCGATTGACAATGAAAACTATACCTGTTGGACATTAACACGAACATTTCCAAAATTCTTCGACCAAACATTATAGATTTTTTTAACTTCCTTTGTAGTTGGAGTATCTTTGTTGAAGTAATTTTTGGCAATTGAAAAATAGAAACCATTTTCTTTAAGAGTAAGTGGAAGATTCTCATGTGGTGCTTTTAGTATCAGCTCTTGAAGTTTGGCATAATCAATTCGCTTATTATCCAACCTTCTCCTTGCCTGCATATAAAACAAATTAATAAAGGAATATTAAAAAGATTCTCATTACTCACTTAATTTGGCAATTTAGCTATTATCGTATATAAAAAACTGTGTATATATGACAATTGTATCATGTTCATGTACACTGTTCAAATTGTTCAGTAAATGCAACTTTGACATGCATGAAGTGCATTATGTCGAAATCGTATAACACATGCAAGTCGTGTCATATTGCAAGAGAAATATAAAATAATCTAATAACTTGGTACATTTTAATGTAATGTAATGTAATGTAAATTAGTAAATATATCTTTAGAAACTTACTTTAAACTTTGTCCGCTTTCTAACGATAGAGCGTTTTCTCATAGGAGAAAACCTTGACATCTTAACTTTAATTTGGGAGTAAAATCATCATCCAAATGACAAGTAGGAGTTTAGGTTTTTGTCGAGGGTCGAGTGTCGAAGATGGGAACTCGAGTGTAGTGGGTATAATGTCGAGTGTAAGAAGTCGAGGGTAAAAATTCGAGAATCATGTATAAAAAGTTGAAGGTCACACAAAAAAGTCAAGGGTCATATTAAAAGGTGGAGGATCATATATAAAAAGCCAAGGGTCATATTTTGTAAAACATTTCATGTTTTTTAATATATTGTCGAGG